GGCTTTTCCAGGATTGACCATGGAAAAATTGGAAGCTGGCAGCTTTGACGGTCGTCAACTCCGTCAGCTCATCAGAGATCCTGAATTTGAAAACTCAATGAACGAAGTGGAACTGATAACGTGGAAGGCTTTTGTTCTGGTTGTGAAGAACTTTCTTGGCAACAACAGGGCCAGGAACTACTTTGAACTCGTCAACGATATGATTGTTGCTTTCAAACACCTCGGATGCATCATGAGCATCAAAATGCATTACTTATTCTCTCATACGGATCGGTTTCCTGAGAATCTTGGATCATTGAGTGACGAGCATTGGGAGAGATTCCACCAGGAGATGGAAGAGATGGAGAGCATGTATCAGGGTCGCTGGGATGCTGTCATGATGGCTGATTACTGTTGGACTCTGAAGAGAGACACCCCTGTCGCTAAGCATTCGAGAGGTTCAAATAAACGGAAGTTCATGCCCTGAATTTTGAACAATGATGACGTAACATTTAATTCACATGTACTTTTACCAGTGTCTACTATTGTAACCGAGGTTTTTAACATTTGATTCGTGAACTGTGTTAGAAAACTTTTTTTTTCTTGAAAATCTATTTCAGATGAGAAATATGAACAAGAATCAACGGATATTACAAAACGATAATCGATTTAGTAAAATCAGATTTTTAAAAAATCAACTTAGCTTAAAAACCTGAGCTGAACAAGAGGAACAGTTGTCATTTTCGGATTCAGTGATGCAAAATTGTCTCTAAATCAGTTTAAAAACATATACAGCTTACTTGATTTGTTACCCTGTGTTATTACTAGCAAATTAAAAGGCAGGTGATAGAAGTACAGAAAATAATAGACAGCCACATCCATTCGCTGACACTAACCAAAGTAGTTATGATAGAATCTCCAAGAGCGATGTGACAGCAAGTTTTTCTATTAAATTTCTTAATTTTAACATTAAAAGAAACTGGGAAGGTCATCTGCGAAAGTGAATCTCCATCCTCTAATACTCGCTGTCAGTAGTCACTTGTGAAAAAAGGATGGGCTTAAAAAGGAAAAAATGCTGCTCTACTCTGCAAGATACAGATATATTTAGGGTCTGCGCTTGCGAGACAGCTGAACTATACATAGTAATGTATCTGGTACTAAATCACTCCACAGACACCCTTATACGATGAGCACAGGTGATTGAAAATATCTTTTCAATATTTTGAAGTTCTCGAAACGAAATGTGAAGAAATACTCCTTCACGCCCAGACGATATTCGGTGTTCTTTGCGGTGTTGAATCCGTAAGATTTTTATCAGCTAGTCATAAACGTAATCACAAGAACAAGAGGTATCATTTCCTGTGAATTTCTGGCTCTGCTGAAGCCTTTAGAGATGATTGAGTGACAGTTGATCATTTTATTGATTGTGATGGTAAAGATGATGAGGATGTACTTGTTAATGATAGAGTAATTGTAAAGGTAATCGTGACTGAATGTGATATTAGTATATGAAGCATTGTATATATGCGAACTATTTATATAAAGTAGTGAAACCTTAATTTATCGCTTTTATTAACCTTACATAAAAGTATGTAAAATCTGATTGATCTTACCGGTGAACATCAATTCATACAGCTTATTCAGCAGAGGAGTTGGTTCATGCCAATCAAACGAATTTGCGGGAAGAAGGAAATGCCAAGGCTTCAAAAGTATATATAAAAAAAAAAACATGTTCAAACTTTTCTGCAAAACTTGACCCTACAGCAACGAATTTTATCCAGCAGAAGCCCTTGCAGTGAAAAGAAATGCTAATCTACTCCGATACTCAAGAATACAATACATGAATAAAACAGCATTCTCTTCCCAACTGATATCGCAAAACTATAATCGATTTAGTATTTTTTTTTTTTTTTTTTATCAACTTAGCATAAAAACCTGCCTGAACAAGAGAAACGGTTGTCACATATATATATATATATATATATATATATATATATATATATATATATATATATATATACATATATACATATACATATACATATATATACACACACATGCACACATGTATATGTATGTGTGTGTATGTGTATGTATATATCACGTACCCCTCAGACACCTCCCCCTCATAAGAATACCTTTGTTTCTCAGACCTTCCTCACCAAATCCACTTCAGAAATTCTCGAAGATATTCAAAACTATCCCATCATGACACAAGAAAACCTGTCTACACCTCATCTATCATCCACTCTCTCTACTTCCATCCCCTCTACACTCAAAGTAACTGCTGACATCCTTCCTCCTATTCATGTTCCCCCTCGCGTCTTCTCCAGCTCCCTCCCAACACCCTCCCCCGGTTCCTCCAATCACCCCCCCCCCCTTCTTTCCCCATTATCCCTTCTGCGTCTCCCAGGATACACATATGACTCTTTTGTCACAACTCCCTTCCTGGGATTCTCTCCCTCATGACATTTTATCCCCCTGAAACTTGTGCTCTAATTGCTCTTAATCCTGCCTTACCCTGCGGACATCCTCGCAGAATCCCACACTCCTTCCTTTTACAAATTTGATTTAATCACCCTTGTTAATCTTCATTTTCCATTTCCTCAACCTCACCCCTCTTCGCCCCTTTCAGTGCTATGCTATCCCAAGCTGCTATACGGTTTTAAGTGTGTAGCACATCAACTAATCCTTTTCACTACTACACCTTTCTGTATTGTCTAGCACATTAATTTTGCTTTGTAAACAATAACATTAACCATTCCACGTTATCCTTTTACTAGGAGTTAAAGATCTAATATTCATCATTATATTAGTTAAACTTATTAAACTTGTGCTTTCCTTTGGCTTATCGGTATGAACATGGCCATCGTCAAAATAGCGGGAACAAGCTCCTACCATCAGTGCTAGCTACTCCTTCAAGTATCTGAAAGTCTGAAGATATCGATATGTAGTCTTTCGATAATCTTTAAAGATATGGAATAGGAACAAAAAATCACTTTTACTTATTACCTATTTATTCATTTGTTTAGTGCGAAAGTGTCTGTTTTTTAGTGTAGATAACAACTCTGACAAGAATTTAGCAAAGTTGCTGTTTTCGTGAGAAGACCTTATGAATAAATTTACACACTATTTTTTATCATTATCTTTATGATTATGATTGCCATTATTATTGTAATTATTACTGTTATTACAATTATATTATCTTTATTATTAGCATTATCATTATTAGTATAATTGTCATTATCATTATTATTATTGTTGTTATTACTTAGGACTGAATTCGGACGGAAAATGCATGTGCTGCGTCAAAATGTCAAGTAACATAAAATCGCGATTATTTCCTTTTTTACATTATAGATAACATATCATGCATGAAATACTTATATACGATATACTTAGAATAGATGAATAGATATAGATAAAATACCTCTGATAGTCAGGGATTTCAAGTTGTGCGATTCTTTTTTGGATTTTATGTATGCTTCTTAAAATAGATCAGTATTATTCATATCAAAGAATAGAACATATTAAAAGTATGTTTGCACATTTTACTTCCTTACTATAAAGATATAACTTGCAGTGTGAGGAAATGTAGAACTGAAGCCATGTATACCTACATTTCACCGCTATTAATCATCGCATATAAAGTCAGCCCAACGTATAAATCGACAGACTCAGCGTCTAAAAAAAAATGCAATAGTTTCCGCTCAATTGGCCATCATTTTCTATTATCTCCGTCCCCCGTCGTTCCGTACTCTAATTTCTACCCCTCCCCCTCCCGTCCCCCATAGGGTGCCTTACCCAAGTGACGTCATAGGCCTTATCGTCCAAAACTGCGCAGACCTCGCAAGAAACGTGACCTTACTTTACTGTAGTTCGCCATGCCTGGTTGCTGTGCAGTGGATGGATGCACTAACTGGGACCGCGTTAAAGATACGCTTTTCCACCGATTCCCAAAGAAGGAAGAAGTGAGAAAAGCCTGGATCGACTCGTGTGGGAAGAAAAAAGTGAACGCTGACCATGCAAGAATATGCAGTAATCATTTTACGAAAACAGACTATGAAAGAAACCTGAAATACGAAATACTAGGCATACCTGTGCCTCGGAGCAGGAGAACCCTAAGGAAAGATGCTGTTCCATCGAAACATATTCCGAAAGTAAAGGGTAAATATTAGGATAAGGATTGCTGTTAGAGATATTGTTAGTATGGAATAAGTTTCAGATTCACACAGCCAATTGGTATATAATGAATTTTGTCTGTAATGGATAGGACAGAAAGTAAAGGCACTGTTGTTATATGTTATTTCCCTATATATATATATATATATATATATATATATATATATATATATATATATATATATATATATCATTCATTTTGTGTTACAGCCAGTCAGTCTTACAATTATTATTTTTTTTTTCAATTGTCAATGCAGTAATATGCTTGAATCTCTTTTTATCACAAGTGATATAGATGAAAGTATTGGTATGTTTATGTAGTGACCTTGCCCATCTGAGATTAAGACCCTATTACTACAGCAAGGTTAAAGTTACTGAGAGAAATGCATCTAATAGAGCATAAGAAATGGAGTAATAAATAACTCTCACGCAGCCAGAGCTCTTAATGGAATGTTTTCTATATATTAACAAAAGTGCTAATAAAAGGAAGTACAGGGGACTTCTCCCCCATCTAGGGAATAGATAGAAGGGTGGAAAGGTTGGATTCGCATGATACTCTGGTTTTGGGGCTTCGGTTTTGGTGCATAGCTCTTGGGAAACACCCTCCAGCCATTCCTGGAAATCCACACTCATCGCTGTGTGAACCAAAACCTAATAACCCAGCAGCTTTGCCCTCAGAACCCCATCCAATTACTGTCTCTTTCTAACGGGGGCTCGGCCCACAAACCCTCACCTGATCATTATAGACTTTCTTTCCGTACAGCATTTATCACAACTTATTTTCTTTATTTTTTGCCTACACAGATTATTTCATATATTAGTGAGTGTAGATTTTCTCTTTGATTATTATAGAGCCATTACATTTTCCTGTAAATGTATACCAAAAGATTATGTGTTGCACAATTTTCTAATAACCAAATGACAGAGGTAATTACATAGATGGAAAGTTTTTTATTTTTGGTCATTCTGTCTATTACAGGCATTACTAAAACTACTCCAAAATTTGTCCCTCATGTAATACTTTGATGTACATTTCCAGGAATATGTAATGACACAAGGGGTGTCAGTTGGGGGGCCTGTAGAAGCAGTTGCCCTTCTCAAGGTCTGGTTTGCCTCTCCCAAGGGCCAGATAAAGCTTAAGTATAGCCATAAAAACTTTTGTAAATTTTTGTTTGCTTCACTTGCCTCCCCACCAAAAAAGCTGAAATGTTGCCCTTGAATAACACACTCATAAAGGGAGAAACTGCACTCACTGATACATTAAATAATTTACTCGGGCTAAATATAATGTCAAAAAGGAAGAGAATAGGTCATGATAAATGATGCACTGATAATAAGAGTATGGTAATTGGGAAGGGTGGAGCCCTGGTAGCAATAGGAAGGAACTCAGGAAGTGAAGCCCCTGGATTAGGAGATTGTTGTGTGTGTGTGTGTGTGTGTGTGTGCAGGTGTGTGTGTTTTCATTGAACTATTCTAAAAACATTGTTTTTACTTATTACTATAGATCACATGCAAGTCAAGGCCAGAGGCAACCCCCATATATATATGATTATATATATTATATATATATATATATATATATATATATATATATATATATATATATATATATATATATAATAAAGCTAATTTATATATATATAGAGCTAGGGTACTAAAAACAAATATAGCTCGAGAATTAGCAGACATGAAAAAGGTACACAGTATTCAGGATCCTAGCAGGAAATATGATTTGCCTTGCAACATTATTAAAATTGCACCAATGAAGGGGAAGATATAGTTCGAGTTAGTAGGCCATCTTTCATTAGATTCTGAATCAGCTGTTTCTATCCTGGAAAATGTGTTTGAGGATAATGTAATCTCATACATTACTGGGTGTGTTTACAGGGCTGTTCTGAAAAGACACTAGTGCAAAATAGTGTGAAGTTTAATAGAAGAAAACCTCATGAAGTTAGGTACTAAGATGTATTATTGCACTACAAGGATAGCGGTTCAAGGCAGTAGGCCTATCTCTTTCATCAAAAGAAGTTAATGATAGATTGATTGAAGAGATATGACAGTATTTTGCAAACTGAATTTAAGAATATCTTAAAGGCCAAAGTTTTACAAGCATTATGTGATGAATTGGATAATATAAATATATATTATATTTGTAATTATGCCTGGAAAGAAATTCATATCTGTTTCTTTTTTATCATTTTATCAAACAAAATTTAGGAATCAAGGCCTGAGAGGGAAGAAGAAATAAAAAAATTTATGTTCCCATAGAAAAAATATTATGTCACAGATAATCATTTCTATTATATGGTGCATTATTATAACATATTTCCATAAATATCTATAGAATCCAAATCAAGCAATCTTCATGGTATTTATA